AATCCCACGCTTCAGTTCAGCTTCCTGGATCCTGTCTAAAGTTTACATGGGCTGATCAAGGACTGGACTCACCAGGAGCACCATGCTCTCTCTTAGCAGAGCACAAAGGGTTAGTTCATTTATGAGTCAAGTTAATTTTTTAATTCTATCTTTGCTATATGACTTCTTGTCTCCCACCAAAGCCTATTAATGGTGTGACGCTATGGAGAAGGGCTGGGGAGCGATTATGCTCTGGTGTGAATTCACAACAGCTTCTGTTTCCCTCTGACACACCAGATTAAGTGCGGCTCCTTCCCTTTCAGGCCTCTGCTAATCCTCTGGCTTCACACTCACTCTGCTCCTGTCTCCACCCGTCTGCCTGGGAACTGGGTCCCTGTGACAGTCACTGCTACTGCCCCAACTGCTCCCACACACTTGACTCAAGAACCAGACTTGGCACAAGAACCCCATCCTAAACTTTGTTTCATTTTAACTGATGCTCCTTCCTGGGCTGCCATGCCAGAGTCCCTCTGGAACTGATAGTTTCAGAACAGCTGGACTGGGAAGAGGTGGGGGGGAAGGGGAGGAAAGAGGAGACAGGAAAAATAAAACAAATACAATTGCTTTTTGTCTCTAAACCCCTCTTTTTAACCCAACGAGCGTCTCATCCAATGAAGCGTGATAAGCATGAAGTGTTATATAAAGAAGATAATTATAAAGGGATTTAATGCTTGGCAGGCTCGTATTGCAAGGTTTATAGCAGAGGTAGCATACTCACTTAAACAGCCTTGTGTCTGGGTTTGCTATTATGCGGGCAGCGCGGCTGGGGCCAAGAGGAATCAGAAACAAGATTTGTTTTACGAAAAAAAAGAGCACAGCCCCCTTCCCACTGAGGATGGCAGCTCCAGTCCCACCTCCTTCCACTTCTGTCCCATCCCTGATTAATGATGTTGTCTGCCTGATTTATGACCCACCCCAACAGATTAGAGTTTCCCTCTTCAACCTCCCCCCGTCTTCCACCCCCCCCAGAAGGCACAGCCACACTCCACTGGAAATATTAGAGAATTATTAAATAAACATTCATACGTCATGTCTCTTCCCATACTGAGCTCATCGTAGTCAACGCTCAGCGGCCGGGTCCTGTTTGCTTTGGGGCTGACACCAAACAGCTGGAGTGATTCATGGAGAGGCTGGCTACAATGCTCTGTGCCATATATCATGCTCGCAGCGCTCCCTGCCCCGGCGGAGATAAACTGATCAACCACAACGGGCTGGAATGAATTTATGACAACACAAAATTGAGGAAAACAAATGGGAGGTGACCCAGTGGGCCACTAACCCAGACTCTCTCGCTGGCCTGCAATCTAGTCTGGTGGCAGAAAGCAAAATTGAACATTGGCACTCTGAATTAAGATGCTGGCTTTTAACCCCGGGGAACCTCGGTTTCAAAATGGCACCAGACCCTTGCAGGCGGCATCTTGGGAGGGAGGGGGAGGAAGACTTTTTGCGGAGAAGGTGCTTTTTGCTGCTCTCCATGCACGACAGTGCTTCGGCTGAGAGTACGCCGCTGGTGGAGGAGTTGGGGAGGATGCCTGGGCAATTAGGAACCTGCTGCTCTCTCTGAGCAAAGCTGCATCTTGAGTCAAGGTAAAGACAGGCTTTGGCTGGAGGTCTTCAGCAGACAGGCAGAGCTCAAGCTGGTGCGATGCTCCTATATCTCTCCCCATGAGCCTTCAGTACCCCAGGGTGTCTCCTAGACACCTCACATTGTCAAGATCAGAAAAGCTCAGCAAGGCTGAGACACTCTGCAGTGCTGGGAAGGAGAGGTGGGACCAGTGCCATCTCTCTCATTACCTGTGGCTGGCATCTGAAGTTCAGATGAGGTCAATGGTGAGAAACATGACCGAGCTACCAAGGACCTGTTGTGGCTGTGAAGGAGGGCTGGGACCAGCACCATGTCTCTCATTACCTGTGGCTGCCATCTAAAGTTCAACACAACGCAGATGAGGTCAACCTGTCCAAGCCATTGATGACCTGGCACAGCAGAAGGAGCAGGGCAACAAACAGAGACTTACCCTAAACCTAATTGTTCTACATGCAAGAGACTCTTCCACAAAAAAATACATTTAGATTAAATTAACTTGCTCAAAGAGCTTCAGCTGCACGCCAAGAGGAGGACCTCTTGCTGTACTGTATTAATGGATTAAAAAACAAACAAAACCACACCGCTCTTCTTGCCTAGACTTATTTTTGGAAGAGGGGAGGGGGAAGCAACGTCATTCTTATGAGAGAAGGATCAATACATGGATCACTGCTAACTCTATTAGCCACTGCTCTAAATGGAGAGCACAGCTGACACAGGTGGTAAGGCACGTGCTTCTGGACAATTTAAAAAATTCTAATCAGATGCTACACGGGGTTTAACATGCCAATCAATAACACTCAGATTTAAAGGCAAAAATTAAAGTTACAAACAATGGAGTAAAGTGAAGCTGCCAAAAACTTCCTGTAAGCACCACCCAAAACAAGAAAAATGAAACCAATTTAGCTCCAGATTAAGAAACAGGAACTAGAGATGAATCAATTTAGCCTGTTGGGCTGGGTCGCCATATATCATGGCTCAGCAGTGGAGTGGGAAACAGCCAGACAGTGTGAAACCCTTCCCCCTCCTTTTCTGTAGGCTTCTACCTCTGATCCCTGTTATCAATTAATTTAACAGAACCCCTCTACACAGACAAGCACACAGAGAATTCAGACTCCTTAAATGGCAGGACAGAAACTATTTATCACACACGAATTTCAAAGGAAAGGAGGAAAAAAAGAAAAAAAACAGCCAGGAATTCTACACCTGAAACACCATCTTGTTTTCTGAACCTTGGTGAAATAAAGCACCTTAAATAAAAAGCTTTCCCTGCTTCTTTCAAAAAATCAACATTATTGGAAGGACTCAGCAAGACACTTAAGGCTTTTCCTGCAACTTCTGTTGGGTTTTGCTGACTTTTCCTACCTTTTGCAGAACTGAAGCTTTAGTGGGTGAGGTTACTGTGGAGCGAGGTGTGTGTGCATACATGTACACGCGCACGCACACACACGTACACGCTCCCCCCACTTCACAGTGGTGAAGGATTCCCGGATCCTTCAAAAGGTGCTAGCTAAAGCCTCTTTGATCAGATTATTAAAGCTATGTCAATTTTATCACTTGAGCTCAAGTTTCTGGAAAATGTCAAATCCTTTCAGCTCCTGCAGTTTAAAGATTTTCAATAGGAGTGGATCTGGGAAGGTGGAGGGCTGCGGGGCTGACAGGCAGGAGGCCCAAAGGGGAGCCAAGCAGCAGCTGAGACAGAGGCTGACAGATTAGGGCAGAACGGATGAGTCCTTGCCACCAAGACAGCATGCAACGGTTGGCTCACTCTAAGGACAAAGCTGCTTCTGCATTGACCTGTGAGCTGCCAAACTCAGTGGTCCTTGGCCAAAGTCTGCTCACTGAGAAGCATCAAACAGCAGACAGCCCACGTTTGAAACATGCTAATAAAACCTTGTAAAAAGGAAAGTGCTGAGACAGCAAAGCAGTGTTAAAGTTTCCTCTGCAGCAGGGAGTTTCCCCAGTTAACCCCTGACTGTGAACACATGCCTTTTGCCAGGCTGCCCGAACTGTCAGAGATCCCGAAATGTGCCAGGGACACAACCTCTCAAGTCAGGACCAGGGGCAGGAGAACAAACTATATTACAAAAAACCCCAAAACTTTCTGTAAAGTCATCTTAATGCTACCATCAGATTTTTTCCCAATCCCAAATTATCAGTGGACCTCATCCCCAAAATGTAAATGCCATCTGTTTAAAACCCACAATTACCTCATTGCTTCCACCTCATTCAAGCTGTTTGTCTCTCACTTCATCTTGGGGCAACAATCAGTTTAAAACACTGCCCCATCCCAATTAATGCAGTCTGTGGCAGCAATGAAGAGCCCATAGTTTTAGGTTTGGATCATCAAATCTGCCTGAGCAATAAGTCACCCTAGTAGTGTGTGGAAGGAGGCTGAGAATACAGGTTGTTATCCAAATGCACAGTACAGATAAAACCATTTGTTTCTATCCCAGACTAGGCTGCAGGATATCCAGGTAGCAGAAAGGGACAGAAAAGGAGATGGCCAGGAGCCCCTGCACTATTGCATATTCAAACACTGGGACTTAAACTTCTTAATCAACTGGAAGGTCTGCTGGTAAAAAAACTCAGGAACTGTGATATTATTTCTGTTAGCAACCATACAAAGGTGAAATCTGAATCTTAATGGAAAAGGAATTCTGTCAGTGACATTTCTGCCAAGTTACGGGGCTGCTGGGATTCCTTTTGGCTGGAGAGCTGGAGGGTGGAGCATGCAGGTACTATGCAGAAAACATAATAGAATTGCCCTCAAAAGCCAAGATGCAATGATAAGGTAACTTCTCTAGTAAAAGCAGGATCCAATGACACACTGATAGTTGAAATCTTGCAGGGGGAATTAAAAAAAAATAAATAATCACAGTAGAGCTCGACAAGCCAATTGCTTTTGTCAGATTAAAGTGGGTTTGAATCTTCATCTCCCATCCAAAGTCCCAGCTCTAGTCTAGGCTGATACACACCACACAACATATTTGGAAACCCACCATAACTAAAATATGGTGGAGGTGGAAAGAATAGATACATCTATCTGCATCTTTCAAAATAAGGCAATTTGAAGTGGAGAAGCCCTTTGGAGTCTGGGCTCCTTGTCACTGCGTACCTATCCATGCACATATGTGGGGAAGAACTCCCCACAGGCCCTCTGTGGACACAGCAGAAGCAAGTCAGGACACCAACAGCTTCATGTCCATGCTTCACGTTGGAGCACAACTTCCCTCCTCAGTGGTAAGTGCTTCAAATATGCCTATCTGTCCTGGTACCATGACACTACCCTCAGACAAGAACTGCTTCTGGGAACACCAGATGGGACGCTATGGTTCCTCAAAACAAGAAAAATGAAAGCTATTCCCTTTACACTCACTTTTCAATGTCACTGTTCTTACAGGTCTTCTGCATGGTCTCCTGTTTACTGCTTTCACCATTACTCGTTGAGGGCATTTCTGTTGAGGGAAGAACAGGCAAATTAGTAAGATCATTCCCATGAAATAGTTTAAGCAAGTTAGTTTCAGAAGTAGAAGACCCCAATGAGTCATTTCCATGCTGATCCTTGGAAAGAGAGAGAAGAGACTGATGCTACGTGTCCCTGTCTGTCAGGGAGGCTCTCTCCCTGGCCAGCATGTTTCTATGATTCAGGACTGAAGATACAACCCCTACCCTCTCCCCACTCCATACTGACTGACCCTCAATTTGTACCAGTTGTATAAGCCAGGATTTAATTCAGAAAGGTTTGATGTGGCTGCCACACCAAAGTGTACTTCTAGAAAGGTGGGTCCAGAGCAAATCCACTCAGTCCAGACCCTGCTTTCAGCTTCTCTGTTTTTGTGAGACCCCTTAGACACAGACAGGGAGAAAAATATATGCCAGTTAACTAGTAGGACAGAATAGTCTGCTCACAGCTCTCCTAGTACTACCAGTCCCATAGTTCCTTCCAGCACTGGAGGGAAGTGAGATACCAGTAGGAGATAAGCCAGATGAATTGTCTTGGGACCAGACCCTAGGCTGTAGGTTCACACAGGGGCTTCAGGTGAAAAGTATGAAGAAAACAGCTCATAGCAGGTGCCATCAGGGCTGCTTCCTTATCACCTCTGTGGCTGTAGTTACTGAAACTGAACACACCTACAAGTGAGTGCTCCATCACAGAAAATAAATGCGACTGCCTATCCCGCAGAAGAAAATGCCTTCGATAGATATCCTATGTTCTCCATTTAATCATCATGCCCTTGGCAAAACTAGTTCTACCCATCCCCCTTCCCACTGGCAAGCAGTTATGTCTTGTAGGTACTTTCAAGGCTGGCAATCAAATGCCCAAAGCATTACAGTAACAGAACAGGGAACAAAATCATTGGGACAAGCCTCTTCAGGTCACTGAGCTTCAGTTCCCTTCCTAAGGGAGTTGGAGCAGCACTGCCCAGCTCTGGAAATGGATTTGGCATCTACAGCTGGAAAGCGCCAGGCTTTATTATTCTCATATTTCCACTAGGTTGCTGCTTACACTTCCAATGCTGCTGGCATTAAACAAAAAGTCGAATAGGTTTAACACCGCCCCCCCCTGTGCCACCGCTAAAAGAGAAAAGGGCAGAATGCTAAAGGTTGAGTATGGAAAATTTTGCTGCTCAGGTAAAGCTACCCCTTCACGCACCACTTCTTTCTCAATACTTCCATCCATCAGTCTAGGTTTCAAAATGTGAGCAGTTGGCCTGCTGCAGGAGGTGTTTTTGTGCTAGTTCACATTTCCACCAGTGTTCTCCCAACCTGCACTTCTAGCTGCGACCTCTGCTGAATCACACGGGGGTTGTGATGCTGCCTGAAGGCTTGGGATTCAAACAGCACCTGTGACCTAATGCTCATTTTTGAATACACAATTTCAAAGATGAAAACCTGACTCATGAATGGAAATCCTCTGTGTTGCAATAGCTTCTCCCTTTAAGAATAACTTTACACCTTCATAAGCTCCATCTTTTCCATCTTCCCATTTGAAGAACAGCAGCATTGAAGTACAGACAACTCCTAACCCTGTCCATTCACTTGCAAGCCAGTAACAGAGACTCTAAGAGAAAGGAATCTTCTGAGCAGGCTGCACACCTGTCACTGTATAACATTTCAGCTCTTATGTGCTATCACAGTTGCACTCAAAAGCTAACACAGGCTCATGCTTTATGGCATCAGCTCCCCTACTGCATTTCTACAGAAACTTGCCAGCATTTCGAAGTGCTTTCACAAGCAACATCACTTCCCCTGTTTTAGGGATGGGCAAACAAGTTCAGGAGACATGCAAGGACCTTGACCAAACAGAAAAACAATGTGTTAAGTGCAAGCCACATTTAGTTATTGGGTCTCCTGGCCTCAGGTCTTCAGTTGTCTCATCAAGCACTAAGTGTTCACAGCCACTGATAAGGGATACTCGGATGTCCTCCTGCTACAATACTGCTGTCATGGCTGTGCAGGAACTTCAGCATCTTTGAAGCCCTGCCTATGGTTAACATGTTAGCAAAGTATCAAACAGACCAATGGCTTGAATCCAGTGTGGCAAATGCCACTTTTCTGTGGAGTAGAACCTAGTTTTGAACTAGTGTTTGTGACAGGCTAAGCAGTAAGAAAACTTCATTTCACTGCTCTATCAATCACTTCAACCTTGACCTCACAGGATCACTCAGTGAAACAGATAGAGGGGTAATTTAAGCCCTGTTTTATGCAGGGCAGAGGGCTTAGAAAGCAATCCTAGCTCCCTGTTAACTCATTTTATTTGCCTGAAATGCTTCCCCAAGTGCTTTGAATGCTGGCTGCCTACATTCTCCACATATGTATGTGGGTAGAGAACACATCCTGCCCCAACCTAAGACGAATGCAGAAGGATTAGTTTGCATATCCCACAACATGTAATGGGATGCAATGAAATCATATCCTGGGTGCCAGACTCCTCTAACATGTTCAACAAGATTTGGATGGCATCACATTATACTACTCCTAAGAGGCCACATTTCACTGTGAAGCAAAATGACACATAAGGCCTTGGCACAGCACAGTTTCCCCATCGTCAGAATTCATCTCCTGTCCAGCACCGTTTGGGAAGATGAGACAGCACTGGCTGGGCAGAGGGGTGGTTAAAGGAGGGACAGTGTGCAGGGAGGCTCTATGAGGCTGCACGGGTAGAAATGGAGACCCATCTATCACACTGTGCTTCTTTGTAGGTCTCTCCTGCTGTGACCCTTGTGCTCAAGTGAATGGGTATTTTCCACAAATTGAGATTCCCCAAAAGTAATGAAAGCAAATTGGAAAGGCATAGTACTTACTTTAAAACAGCACCTCGGAGCGCCTCCCTCTCTTTGGCTTCACCTGGCTCTTCCCCAGTGCAAGGGATAACGTCTGCCTCTGTGTACCTGAGCACAAGGGGTTAAGGAACATACTTGCTGCAGACAGGTGAAAGGCTTCTGAGATGGTTAGGACACTATCTGGGATACAGAACAAATTAATTCCAACTGGGAACATCTCATAAGAAGAGAGGCTGGTATCCATGAAGCAGCTTGCTTTTAAATTCTGGATTAGTTTTGTTTTAGGTGGAAAGAAACAGAAAACTCTTTTGACAGCAACATGATGCCACAGCCTCTTAGAAAGGGAAAATCAATTCCTCAACCTCTGCAAGTCTAACTTGCACGATTTCACTATTTCTGTTTTGAGGCACAGAGATCTTTTACCAGCTAACAGTTGGGGCTTCAGTCTTAAAGGCTGGTACAGACTTCAGTAAAATCTAATTCTATAGCTATATATTCCCCCTCATCACAGATAAGTCAGTGTCTCCATAATACCCTTGCAGGAATTCCTCCCTGATGTCTGTTACAGCTGCTGCAGGGCAGAAGTCTGCAGGCAGCTCTCACAGAGCAGTGTCCAAAGTGCCTGGCTCCCAGATGGAGAAGTTCCCAAGAACTCCCCTTAATGGTAAGTTTTTCCCATGAACTACCTAATGAAAGGAAAAAAATTCAGTCTCTCAGAGTGGCAGGTGAGTAATGCTTGAAATGTTTACTGCACAAAACCCCTGAAAACAAATGGTGTCTTGTGGAAAATAAACTCAATTCCTACCCATGAAACAGGAAAAGCTATCTATAGGGAAGAAACCTGGATCAAACAGAATAGAGAAACACTAATTTTGATCTCCTGCAATGTCACTCACAGACTTCACCAAGTGGGTCTGAAGTAGTGCTGTATCAACAGAAGGATCTCAAAGGGAGTAACTGGGAATCCCTCCCAGTTCAAGTAACATGGTAGCTGGAAAAGGTGCTGTAATTTCCAGTAGGGCTGGACACAGATTATCGACCACTACCAGGGCAGTGCTGTATGAAAGCTAGCTGAAGATGCACCCCTAGGGCCCCTCTCAGTAAGAGCCTTTCAAAAACGATACTGTGGTTTCCCGTATTCAAGTGTGTCGTCTCCGTCCACATCCAGGTCAGCGTCACTGTCTGGATTCTCCTTGCCACTGCACATGATAAACCCAGAACCTGGAAGAAAATAAGACACATGGATGAGCATTTGAATTGAAGTGCAGGAGGTCTCCTAAGGATGGTGCAACAGCACCAGTCCACAGGCTGTCCTTTACTCTTAACAGCCTCACAAAAGGTACTGTCTCCAAAGACTGCACAAGAACAATTTTTGGAAGAGTGCAGAGAAAGCACTCATAGAAATGCTCTAACTTCCTGGATTTTATACTCTAAAATGCCCCTCAGCACTGAAAATGAATGACCTTTTGCTCTCCAGAGGAGTTATTTTAAAGTTGAAGGCATTAGAAGGAGCTCTCTCAAAGGCAGAAAAAATTTGAAGCAAAATAAGGAAGACTGATTTTTCATAGAAAATAGGGAAGGCTGATTTTTCATAAAGTGAAAAAAAAAGTATACAAAAAGTATACTACTATCAGGTAAGAGAAAGCCACAGGGGTATTCTGAATTAGTCCTTAATTCAGATGCAGAGAGCAGGCAGAGGCTAAAATACAATTAGAAATACCTTTCTCTTCTTTAAATGCATTTAGTCAGGGTTTATATTTTTACAATACAAACATTTAAGAATAGAAAACCTGTTTCTAGGAGAAAAAAAAAAGACTCCACAGTCATTAACAGCTCCTTAGCACTTCTAAGGTGAGCAAATGCCAATGCAAGTCAACAAGAGTCCTGCAGTTCCAACATGGGTGAATTGGGCAAGAGTCCAGTCCCAGCTCCAGCAGGAAGCAAACATAAACAGTTCCCCCTGCAACTGAGCTGTGTAATAATTGCCACTTTTTTTGGTTCTCAAGCATTTTGTTGACTGTGTTATTGCTGATTGTAACCAGGTTTCTTTTAATTGAATCTGTGCACAAACGCCTACAAAGACGAACCTTCATGTCATATTAGCTGCCTAAGGTTTATTAATAGAAAGGAAACCAAGGAATATTTATATTTATTCTTCATGTGACACTGGATATGCTCTCTCCCATAAGACTGAAAATTAAGCAAAGATTTACAGAATAACAGGGTTGTGCAAGGTCCTCACTCATGTTCAATTCTACAGCAGATCTAAGCTGTTTGGGGACATAAACTATGCAGACAGAAATCTGCTCACTCCAAGCTGCCTCCAGTGCACTCTTTCCCTTAGCACCCCACTGTCCAGACAGCAGACCTGGACACTTGGCTCTCAGACAGAGGGTACCTGCTGGAACCTGAAAGACCTGGCACATCCAGATGGCTGGTGACCTCAGTCTGTGACTAGACCAAGAAGCAAACCCCACCTGCAAACACCGAAAGAATAAGGTAGACATAGCCTTGGCTTTGCACAAATTACATTTCTGCGCTGTGAGTGCACCTCTGTCCTGTGAATGTTGTTCTAAATGCAGAACACAGGCTAAAATTAATGTAGAGGCACTGAGTATAAGGTGCATGTCTGAAGAATGAGGACATCCCCAAGTGTTAGGGTAGCCCTTTTAGGGGTATAGATATCTGAGTCTATTTGCTCTACAGGGCTCTCACTAGCACACTTACACAAGCTCATGCTGTCAGCAGCAAACTTGAGCTTTCCCAGCCCAGAAATGAGCTGTATTTCTATCAGTCTGCATCTGTGCAGAGAGCAGGGCAAGGCGAAGGTTTCATTTCCATGGACACCTTGCGGACACAGTTCTTTACTGTTGCTCTCCAGGAACAGACGCTCTCATTCATTCATTAAGCCCCCAATAAAACTTGTTTATATGGACTTGATATTTCTCTTCCCTGAATATAAAGAAGGTCTTTAACGAGTGATAACCATAGCATGATGATGATTTTAAGACTAACCTTTTCCTAGAAGCATAAACTACCTTTTACTTCAAAGTAATTGCCAGCCTTAATTTTTAGCAGAGGTAACAAAACTAGCTTTGACTGCAGCATCCATCGTCTGCCCCAGGACTGCAGGAGCCATGCCTGTAGGTCAGCTCCGTGGTGTCACCAGGCCAGCAGGGCCCTTATGAAGTGTTTCACATACTAGATGCACGCTGCCAGCCAACACATCATGAGCTGCCTTCTCTTGCTGCAATGGCTCATCCAGTAAATCTTGACCCCTTCAGTTCATCACAATGTTTGGGAGAAGATTTAGAGGAGTAGGCAAGACCTGTCAAAGAAGCTGGATAGTTTTTCAAAGCTGTCTTAGAAGTCATAGTGGGCAATGGGGTGGTAATTTACAGGCATGGCATTTAACCTGCAGTAACACCATCCCCTGCACCTGGCATTACTTTAGCCCATCACTTCTCAAAGGCCATAAACTTCGGACACACAGGTCTTCATTTTTCTTGTAGCTGTGGGAAACACAAATCATGCAAAGCTGGAGCTGTGACTTGGCCAGTCCCGGAGGTGATATGAATGTTAGCCAGACAATGAATACTTGGAGCAAGTGCATTGGGGGGGTGTGAGGAAAGTGTACAAAAGAATGAACTTAAGTGGGACTGCTCCCCACGTTCCTCTCTCTGCAAGGATGCCAAGCACACAGCAAACACTCACCCTTCCATCAATTTTGTTTCCAAGTGACTCAAGCCAACTAGTGGTTTATGGTTAGAGCTTAAGAAAAGAAGATCTGCTTACTGTGATACAATTTACAAATATTAAGGCACCTTGACTTCAGAATCCTGGTGTCCTTGCTCTGAAAACCTTTGTACTTAAGAAAATCCCTTTTAAGTCTGAAAGGAAAATACTTCAGAGCTTCTGCTGAATCTATAATAGGAACCACTGCATTGCCGACAGAGTACTGTCCTCCCTACACAGGGAGGGTACATGGGAAGGGTTTGGACAGTATGTGTAACGATGGCAGATACACACTGGGATGATCCGATACAGCATTTCCCACAGAGAGGAGGGCATAGCAGAGAAGTTCACTAAGATGAGGGGCAGGAGAAGGGTAAGTTTTCTTTTCTGATCAGTTGTGGACTCTAGGCCAATATCTAAAGGAAGCCACAGTAAAGTGATCCAACTCTCAGATTTTCACCAAATATGGATTTTTTTTTCCGAACACTAACAAGTGCAGTCCACTGCAACAAGGTAAAAAAAAAAAAAAAAAAAAAAATCAGAAACTGTATGCTAAACAAAGTATTTTCTGGGTTCATGAAGGTTACTTTCAATATAAGCTGTGCTATCAGTTTTAGGACTTCAGAGGCTCCTTTAAAAAAAAGGAAAACCAAAACCCACAAAATATGTTTCCGATGTAAATCAAAAGGTCCATAAATCCAAGTACTGCCACTGCACGCAAGAGAACACCAAAGAACAGGATGCAAAGCTTGGTCCAGCATCACCTGCAGTGCAAATGGTCTCCCACGGACATCCTAATGCCCTTTCATCTGCAGCAGGGATGGATTTTGAGGCCAGTTCCGGCGGGCTGGGGTTTGGTGCCACAATTTCAACCTGACCCTCCTTGTCTAACTTCCTGGGGTTGCTTCCATCCACAAAGCCAGTGAAAACACCCACGCAGCTGTTCAAATATTTGACGTCTGAACTGCTTGACATTATTCATTCATCTCAGGCTCATTCAAACCAGATTTCTGGACAAGTGCTGTTATAAATGGATTAAGAGGACCACTAAATGCAAGAAAGGTCCTATAGGATCACACCTGCTTCTCACTAACTCAGCACAAGTGTAAAGAGGGCTTCACAACTTCCAGCTCCAGCCAGCAGCATATACTGCCATCCAGGAGCAAGCAAAACATGAAATGGAGTACAGGGTATGATGAGCAGAATAAAATGGCCTTCATAACAGCATTGTTTTGGACCTACTAGAGGAGAACAGGAGCTTCCAGAAGACCCCCTACCACTACACTCAGGTGATTTGCAATTCAACAGCGTGCACTGGGAGTGGGGAAGGGTTCCTTCCTCCAGCAAGGCTCAGCTTCTGAAGGTCGTGCAGTAATTCATGGCCATCAGCAACGCTGCCTAGAGCAGACCTCGAAAGCCAGTGCTGCTATCCAGAGGTCAATGCTTGGGACCAGAACTTTATCCCAACATGTAATAAAGGGAAATGTAACAACTGAATGTTGTCAGTTTGACCTAGGAATTCACAAGAGACATGATCTGTTATTCACAGAAGCAGCTGTGACTCTTACAAGGAGAGTCACCTCAGGCCTGAGGAACATAATTCCACATGTGAATTTGAAAATGCTGCTTTCAGACGAAAAAAGAACAAACCAAAATGACTCTCCTATCTCCTTCCCTTCCCTTGCTGAAGAAATTTTTGCTCTTGCCTTGCATTTGGTAGGAGGCAACCACTTGTCATAGACTGCCAGCCCCGATACAATTAGCCTCCCAATGCTAAAGCAGCACAATCCTCTGACAGTCTTAATCCCAGCTGCCTTCTTAAGGTCCAGACAAACAGGAGTGAGCAAGCAGGTCAGATGCTGGGGCCATTAAGCAGAGAAAAAACGAAGTTACAGCTTTGTCTCCAATCCCCATTGCTCTTGTAGCCAGGTGCTCTGACAAGCAATTCCAGCACTGGTATTGAGTGGCACCTCTATAAACCCTGTGACAGTTTGGGAGACAAACTCCCCCATCAATCAGAATGTACCTATCAAGATCACTTACCTAAAGCGCCCGCCACCCTCCAGCACTGTGTACACAGCTTTGCTTGGGCTGGCTGCAGAGCAGTCTGTTTGAGCACCAATTCAAGTTAGTTTCTGAAAAATTCAGGTACTCTACACAAGCAACAGTGTTTCTGAAATACTGACTTAGAGGTCTGAAAAGCAGAAAAAATTCACATCTTTGCTGCTGCCAGGCTGCAGGTACTGGCAGGCTACAGGAATCAGCTGAGCTTGAAGGAGACTGGAAAACACTTCCCACTTTCTTCCATGTGTCTATTAATGGCTGGAAATAAATCTCATCAGAAATCCTTTTCTTCCCCTTTCCATAAGTTGTCATAGCACCTTTCCTTCTCTTAAGCCATTCTCTATGCCTAAGCATCCTCTCTGACCTCTGCACTGCTTCTCAAATCTCACTTCCTTTGTGCAATCCCCCTGATGACCAGTGAT